ATTCCGACGCCTATTACTGCAGCAATGCACTCGGTCGTCTCTAACACGTCCTTGATGTATGGCAGCACATGACATATGGTATGCGTTTGGTTCTGCTTGGGTCCTCGGGGGGCGAGCACGTAGGCAGCGGTTTATGAATGCCTTTTGCATTAGCTGGTCGCGGAGATGACGGGTTTCATGTGATTTTTCTGTCGAGTTGCTGAAATGAGTCTGGAGCCTTTTGTACAATTCGCTTACGTAGTTTCGTTTGTGGGCCACCGGATGGTTGCTGTGAAAATGGAGAAGCTGTGCTTTTTGTCACCTTACTGTAGCCAATTGTTTATCTTTCGCCGCGGGAGGTTCGCCTGACGAGCACATCAAGGAAGGCCCGCTGCTATAAGAAGGCGGTCATAAGCTCATGCCTACGTGTTCATTCCCCCAAGGACCCAAGAGAAAATAGCGTATACTGTGTGTCATGCGCTGTCGTACATCAAGGACGTAAGGTGGTGGTGGTAAATTCAGGGCCTCCTTTGGCGTAGCAAAGTTTTCACAAAGAGGAGTTAGGCAAAGGAAGATTATGAAAGGGCGTACGCCATGCAAAAGCAAACAAATTGCTTACGATAACATCAAATTTGGCGTAGATGTCAACCATACATCCAGCCTCGTCAATGACAGGAAGCGCAGAAACACGATGATCAATGAAAACTTGCAAGACCCGGTGAAGAGGCCAGTCGGTCTTGACGCACACAACATCTTTCATTGTCCCGAGTGAGAGATCTCGAAGGTGCTCATTCATGAAAGACGGGGTTGGAAGTTTTGACATCTGCAGACGAAGGGACCAGTGAAAAGATTACGCACACTGTCTCAGGGGCAAACAAAAAACTGAACGGAAGCATGACCGACTAGCTGGACAAGTTGCTTACGTTTTGGCTGACGTTGGTGCGCAGTCTAGTCTGCGGCAGTAACTCTAGTTGGCAGGTGGCATTTGCGAAGTAGTGATACCGCCTGACTTGGGTGAGCAATTTTTCCAATTAGGCCTTGTAGTAGTATAGCTAAAGGGGGTGCCGTGGCTACTTTTTCCCGACCAGGCTTCACTGAGGGGTCGTTACAGTTTTCGCTAACTGTAGAGGGATATTCTTATCAAGGTTATTAGACTGACTCTATCGTGCCACACAAGTCACACTCACACCCTCAGACAAAGAGCATGCATGCAGTAGAAGGCAGCAGGAGAAGTGACATTCCTGTCAGCAGAGAAAAAAAGACTTCCATTAACCCTCTTAGAGGTGCGGATACCACACGTGCTCCTAGCAGAAACA